TTGAAATCTTACTGATTAATATACAGAAAGCCAAAAAAAAAGTTGAAAAAGCAAATTCCCCGCCAAGTTACGTCTCCTCAAAGTTCTAAAATTTGTGAGGTTGCGGCTTCACATGCCTACCTTTGCAGACTTGTAATTTAGCCTGCCCTCAACAGAATTCAACAGTTTTTAGTTCATTAGGCTTGTCATATCCTGTACTTAATAGTACTTGTTGAATAACTTAATTCTCTTGGGAAATTTTTCACATACAGTAAAACAATTTTCCAAGAAAAATAGAAAACAATTTGTCGTTAAATTTTTGAGAAAGAGATCTGTGTAAAACTTTCCACTCCACAGAATATTAAAATTCCGTGATGACTTTTTTTTGGTATCTGCAGCAACAAGCCGAAAAGAAATTTGAAATTGAAAATACCTATTGTTTTTACAGCATCCCCATGTCTTTTACAGTGGCAAAGCCATCCTGAGCCGCTTTTGAAGGCCGCAAACAGTTGCTTTAAAAATCGTGTATGCTTAAAACGTTGAAATTTGTTACAAAAATTGTATTTTATTTTGGTAATATTAACAACTTATAATTCTGCAGAGTTGTAACAAGTAGCCACCACTCCAGTGTTTTCTGCTTCTTGTTTTTCGTAGTTTCTGGACTCTTAGAGTTGTATTCATAGTAGACTCGTTAAAGTTTTGATTGTACATGCGAACATGAGCTCAATTTGTTATTCCTTCTCTGAAATAATGTGCTGTGGTTCTTCAGAAACACAGAAAGTCCAAGGAGCGCCTTAACCCAACAACCAACCAGCTAAAGCAGTAGGTTCTTAGACTTCCTTTTGACTCCAAAATGTATATTGAAGTACACTTTTGACAGAATAAAACATGAGAAACAGAAAACACTGGTATAGAGGCTACTTTTTACAACTCAGCAAAACATTAAATTGTTAACACTATCAAAATACAATTTTTTAAACAAATTTTCAACGTTTAAATCATAGTCGGCTAGTCGGCTTTTACAGCAGCTGTTTGTGGCTTTCGGAAGCAACTCGGAACGATCTCGCCACTGTAAAATACACCAGATTACTGTGAATACAATGGGCTCTTTTCAGTCTTACATTTCTTCCTTGCTCGTAACCTTTAAAACCAAAAAAGCTATCACCAAATTTCGATATTTTGTAGGGGAAAAAATTTTACATAAAACGTGTTGTTCCTAAAAAACTTGAAGGCGC